AACCCTAAACCAGGAAGTTTAGGGTTTAGGGCAACGAACAACGAACTCTAAACCCTAAACCCCTAAAACCCTAAGCCCTAAACCCCTAAAGCCCCAAAACCCTAAACCAGGAAGATGCACTGCCGGCTGGAGTTGGTAGCCACGGAGTACGAACCCCTTTGCCGCCTCGAGCTGAGCAGCTCCGGTCCCTACTTCCGGAAGCTTTTTTTTGGAGCCTCTAAGGCTCTGAGGACTCTTCGGTTTAGGGCTTAGAGGATTTAGGGCTGAGGGTTTAGTATAGGGGAAGCCTTTTTTGAGAGCCTCTAAGGACTCTTCTGAAGAAGTCCCCTCAAGTCTCTAAGGACTCTTCGATGAAGGTTCCTATCAAGCAAGGGTTCCTTTAAGGGTTCTCTTAAAGAGTTCCTCTCAGGTGGTTTAGGGCTCGAGGATGTTTAAGGGGAGGCCCTAGTGTGTTCAGGGTTTGGGTTCTCAGGGTTTTGCGTTGTTTCTGCAGTCCCACAGCCTGAAACACCTCACCCGAAACGAGCCAAAAAAGGCTAGAGCCCCCAAGCCCAAGGGACTCTCCAATTCCAGGTAATGCGACAAGGCCTGCCACTTTTCTCCCGCTTCTGGCAGAGGACGGCAGGTTTCGAGGATCTAGGCTTACTCAAGATTGACAGGTGGACTAAGAGTTGGTGTTTTTTGGTGAGTAGGGGCAGAGTGTTTAGTAGACGTTACGCGGGTCTCTGCACGGTGAACTTGAGTGTTCCCTGCACGCTCCGAGACTTCCTTCAAATAGGGGCCCTGACCATGTTGGTTCCGGATTCCCAGCTGATGCAGGGTTTAAGCTTGGGTTCAGAATGGACCCTGACTTAAGGGATATCTGAGTCGCCTCAACCCCAGAAGCCCGCGGAGTTTTGGGCCGGAGGACGCTGCAGTGACGCTACCAGACCAGGCCATCGTTTGGGCGCAGGACTTCTCACAGCGCCCCGGCTCTCCCACGATACTGACATGTTGTATTCTCAAAGCAGGGCCTTTGAGTCGGCAAGGTCCTACTACTGTGCGCAACGACAGGCGTTTTGAATGTTTTTGTTTGTACAAGGTGGAGATGTAGGGGCGAGGGTGCGAGTTGGGGTTTAGGCAAGCAGCTTCAGTGCTGATTGTATGGCGTGCCACGGAGTGATCTTTCAATGATCTTCGTCAGCAACACTTTCGCCCCGAACCAGATACCCCGTAAACCCTAAACCCTAAAGCCGAAACCCTAAACCCTAAACCCAAAACCCTAACCCCCCCCGATGCATGCTACAGAGGTAGGAAAAGGCCGTTCGTCTTCCACGGCCGGTCAGGGTCCAACTTTGCCATAGCTGAGGATTCCATTGAGCAGAAGCCAGAGGTGACGACCCCCCACCCCCCCCTCCCCCCCAAAAAAAAGAAAAGGTATCCAGTCTATGGATCTGCAAGTTCTTCCAAAGGAGATGCTAAGGACCCTCAAGGTGTAACAAGGTCGCTGTTCGAAAGAAGCTTGCTGTTTTCGCCCTCTTTCGGTCCAACTCAGGGCTTGAGGGTTTCGGCGCGCAAGCTGTAAACTATAAACCCAACATCGCTTGAAACCCCAAGCCCCCCAAGCCTAAACCCCTAGCCTAAACCATCCTAAGCACTACACCCTAAACCCGAATTAAGCCTCAAGCCCTTAACTCTCATGTTCTCTCTTGTGGCCGAGGTTGGTAATCCTAAGCACTACACCCTAAACCCGAACTTAACTCATGTTCTCTCTTGTGGCCGAGGTTGGTAGACCAAGCCTCGCAGAGTCTCGCCACCCTCGTGCGCGAGCTGGCCAGTCGGAAGCAGCATCTTGGCATTTCTTGTGGCAAAGGCTTCCATGCCTTGGCTCTTTGTGGTTTCTTTTAGGGCTTTAGGGCTTTTAGGGGTTTCGGAGAGTTGCGAGATGTTTACAACCGGGTCTCTAGCTGCCAGGAAGGTCTCTAAACTGTGAGTTTTGTTTGATTCATGCTGCAGCGGTTTGGGTTTACTGTTTAACGGTTCTCTGAGGTTTCTGGGTTTGAGATTTACCCGGAAACCACACCCTTCATCCCTGCAGAGGTAGAACCTTAAAACTCAAGAAACCCAGAGTGTCCACATATATTACCATTACGAATTATGCCCTACTTACTCTATCTATCTATCTCTCTATATATATATATGTATGTGTGTGTATACATATATATATATAATATGCACACATGAACTCTCTCGGGAAGGCATCTCAGTGGCTGCGTTGGCGAGCTCCGTGCGCTGCTTCTGCGGCGCGCGGCCGGCGGAGAGCCCCTGCCAGAAGGCTGACAGAAAAGGCATGCGTTGGGCTCTGGGGTTATATAGGGCTTCGGGGCTTTAGGGTTAAGGGTTTTAGGGTTTTGAAGGGCTTACTCACTCACTAAGTGATTGTGGCCAAGTGTTCGTCCTGGCAGAGTCGCAGCAGGCCGGTTGCAAAAGGGTTTTGAAGACGGTGCAACAATTTCGGTTTTTGGTGCTTCAACTAGACCTATATGGTCGTGGTAGGAGTTGTGGTCGTCGTCGTGGGTTTCAATCAGGGCGCCAGCAGCAGCAGGAGTAGTAGTAGGTGGTCGTTGTAGTTGTAGTGATGGTCTTCGTAGTACTTGTAACTTGTATAGGCAGCAGCACGAGCAGAAGGACGGGCCGTAGCTTTTCTAGCTGCATCAGAAGCTGTAGAATCTTGCCGATGTGAGATGATTTCTACTCTTCCATTTGGCAAGCCTGCTTGCACCCTTCATGATGCTATTGTCGGTCTAGTGACAAGGTTGTCTCACTCGCAACATCTCGAGATGACGGTTTCCATGTGTGCGGTCGTCCGGTGCAGCATCTCGTTGTTCACTCTGCAATGTGCAGGAGAGCCGCAGAGGGTCGGCGATGTCTATGACCAGGAGGTTAGATATTAGTCCCAGCGGATCACTCGAATTCCTGTCTTCCACAGCCGCCGAAGCCTGCACACAAAGTAATGCCCTTCTCGAAACGATTCCGCCCAAAAGATTCTCGCTCTCCGACATTCGGCAGTTCCACTCCCGATGTGGCACGTCGCGCCTTGCAACTAGCCAAAAACAAGAAGCCCTGTGAGAAGCACGGCAGCATTCTACCAAGGTGCGGCACTCGAAACCCTCATCCCAAACCCCTAAACCGGATAAGCCCATTCTGGGCCCTTTACTCAGCACTCCTGAACCCTGAGCCCCGAAACCTAAACCCCTCAAGCCCTTGAGCGAGCGTGCAAACCCCTAAACCCTAAAGCCTATACTAAGGTGGGGTACGGTGACATCCTCCCGACGACCGATGACGAAAGGTTCCATGGCCAATCTTTCTGCAATCGCGGGATGGACCATGCGCTTTCCAACCTGCCAAGTAGGGTAAGCAGTCAGGGTTTGGTCTTTGGGGGCTTGTAAGCGCAGGATTTAGATGAGGCTTTCGTTTTCAGGTTTAGGTCATGCTAAATTCCAGCAAGCAAAAGGCATTCATGGGGGGGGTTACCATAGTGTCATTCTAGGGATGCTACGACTGGGGTCATTCTAGGGTTGACTAAACATACCCACTTACCCCAAGATGGTGCTAAATCATGGTAGAGCAGGCACTAGAAGCTACCTGATGCAACATAATGCTAAACCGTAAACCTCCCTAAACCCTAAACGCTATGGCTATGATCCCTAAACCCCATGAGCCCTAATCTTTAAACCATATGATTGTTGCATCGAGGAGACATGGTTCGATCCCACCCCACACCTCGCAGCCTTACTATTCAGAGTAGGGTTTTGGGTTCCAGCGGTTTGGGGCTTTAGGGTTTAGGGTTTTAGGGTTTAGGGCTCAATAGAGTGCAAGCAAAGATGCTGCACCCTGAGAAACCACATTGGCATTTACTTAGGCCCTAGATTGTGGGCATATTGAGCACTGACACCATCCTGATTGGGTATAACCAAACCTTTTCCACAGTGTGGACCCATGCACGGGCTGCTAGGACCAGCATGCAGCATGGTCTTCAGCATTCAGAAAAAGATGCAGCTGTTGCGCCTGCGGCACGAAAACCGGAGCAAGACTTAGTATAGGGTTCAGGGTTCAGGGGCATTTATGAACTTCTGATAGCCATTCCGCCAGGCTCTCAGCCTATGCGCATGCTGCAACCAATCGCGCGCATCAGGATCTTCACGATGCTGGCGATGATCGTGGGCGGTGCTTTCTATGGGTATGTCGTGGGCAACATCTCGGTGATCCTTGCGAGTAATGACGCCGCTTAGCTTTGGCCTTGTTGCTTGAGCATCTGATGTGCTTGTCAGTGCTTGTGTCTATCATAATGGCTGTTGGGAGAACGCTGACGGTACAGGTACTTGATTTTATCCCTCAGCCCCCCTAAACCCTAAACCCTAAACCTAAGCCCTTCGAATCCCGGCTGTACACCTTCGGTTCAGGTCCAGCGCTTAGGACTAAAGGCTTAGGACGGTTTAGGGATCGCCGAAAAAATCAGAGGCCAATATAGAGATCTAGATCTAGCGACTCCTAGATTGGGATTCGGTCGTGTTGCATTGAAATACTAAAGAACCCTGGGACCAGTATTGCTATGTAATCCGTTGTCGCTAGTCTTCCATCCATTTTGCCGGATCAGGGTTTAACAGGTTGAGGGCTTCGGCTTACGGGTTTCTGAACCCTTCCTGGGCATCCTGAACCAGGCGGCAGGGCTTGAAGCCCTAAGCCCTAAGCCCGAAATTCCACGGGAACAAGATCCGGTTAAAGAAAAAAAACGTGGAGTTCAGGGCTTAGGGAGTCCACCACGCCTAAACCCTAAACCTCAATCCCCAAACACACACACACACACACACCCCAGAAGCCTGGAAAGACTCTTCAGCTGCAGCAGAAGCCCTGCAGTCAGTATGGAGGAAGTTTCGGTTTTCCGAAACCCGGCATGAAGACCACAACATGAAAATCTCGTGTGGCGAGCTCCTTATGGCCAGAATCTCAGGGTTTTAGGGTTATGCAAGAGATGATGTTCGGAAACCAGCAGTAAAAGTCTGAACCCTTGGCGCCCTGGCCCCGAACGCCTGCCTACGGCTTCACTCTGAAGATTTCGGACGACCCTGAACCGTGCTACAGCCTTGCGTTTAGGGCACACAGGGTCTACTCAAACTCTTTCCCCGGGCCCTAGACACTAGTCGCGCCTTGAACCCGCATCCTAGTCCCTACTCAGGCCCAAACACCACTCATACCCACATCCCCTAAAACCCCGAAACCCCACATGATCTCTACAGACCCTACATCCCGTACACATGCACCTTCAATTCCGAAACCGTCTATATCCCAGACACTGCGCCCGAAATCCTAACTCCACACCTTCAGCCCCGAACCCCTAAATCCAACCCCCCAAAGTTCTAAACAACTGAACCCCAAGCCCGTCCCTTTAAAAACAAGAACCCCGAGCCCCAAAGCGATCAGGTGAACTGGCGAGCTCAGAAAGAACGTTTGGAGCTTATCGAGGTGCCTCTGCCTCCCAAGCTTCGCGGTTGAAGGGCTCTTTAAGGGTTCCTGTAGGGCTTTAGGGTGAAAAGCAAGGCTTTTCGGCTTAAGAAATTTTTGTTTGAGGTTTAGGGAACCAGGGAATCATTTCAAGTTTCAGGGTTTTGTGTTAAGGGGTTTAGGGTTCAGGAAGACTTCGGGAGTGTTTGGCTTAAGGTTTGGAGCCTACAAGCTCAGGGCTTCGCAAGGATCGTAGGCTTCGAGGTTCGTTGCAAAGACCCGGAACTCGACACCCAGAATTCTGATCGGGGTTCCGGTGCAGGGATTGAGGAGGCTTTAGGGATTTCTGGGGTTTCAACTTGGTTGTAGGAGGCTGGGTTTTTGCAGCGTGCAAGCTGAGATGATAACTCGAGCCTGCTATATCGCTGTACAGTGTTGTACAGGGGATGAGGACGAACTGATGTTTGAGGCTCGCCGCTCTATGTACTACTTCTGAGGGAGCCTGAGGGTTCCTCACACACCCCGAAACAAGCCTTGCTAAGCCACGCAAGAAGCTTCAAACCCGAGGCGAGGAAAACCTTATAAGGCTCTCATGAAGCAGTAACAACCGAAGCGCCTGAAAAAGCAGCTCGAAAGTTAGAAGTCATCAATAAACCCAATGACGAGAACAACCTCGGTCAGAGTAGCAGTACCCGTAACAACGAGACTATTCAGATCCCAAGCCCTTAAACTCCTTAAACCCTTGATAAAAAGACTAATCAATAATGATTAACCGAAAAAGAACAGTACATTTCGTAGCAAACAAGGAGAAGCCCTTGGCGCAGGCCTGGCTCACTCACCATCGCTTTCCCACGCAGCTGAGAAGAAGGATCTGGGTGCCTCGGGCTGGAGTTTTGGTATGTCGGGTGTTTAGGGCTTGAAGGTTTAAAGAGTTAGTGCTTAGGAGTTTCGGTGTAATCCCTTCCCCCCAGTATTAACCCCCCCCTTCCTCCACACTTCCCCCCAATATGAAAACTGATTTCCGGGGGTTTTGCTTTTATATTAGGGGGTTTTTCGGCGCACCTCGACCGTCCATCACGCAGCCGTTCCAGCTGTAGCACACAGTCAGCCTGGAGGCTAGAATTACGCCTTAAGCCCTGAGCCCTGAACCCTAAAGCCCTAAGCCCTAAACCTTGAGCCCTTTAGTACTGCTGTAATCTTGGCTCTGTTAAAAGCGTAGTAGATGGACGAGTACACTATAAACTTTGTGGGATAACATGATCCCTTATAGAACTGAAAGTGCACAATTTTTTGTGCTTCTGAACTCAGCAACGAAAACTGGTACAATCCTAGGCCCACCCCTATAGGCCCTAATGTTTTAATTGACTTTCAAGTGTGGGCCCGAAACCGCGAAATCCCGGGGCAGGGAGGTTTTCATAATGGAGGGGTTTAGTGTTAGGGGAGGGGATTAGTAGATTAGGGATTTAAATTTACTGTAGGCAGTTTAGGGTTTAGGGATCTGTATTGCAGCTATAAATGCTTTAGAGCTGAAGTTACTGTTGACTCAGGTCAAACACGTCCAACAAGCCTATCGTCCATAGCGACATCTGTTATATACATATATATATATATATATGTATGTATATATACACACACACCTACCCTAAGCCCGAAGCACTACATTTACGAAATGCAATGGCGAGAAGCAACACATGTGATATACTTGTACAGCCGGTATCAACACACATGTCGTACGTGCACACAAGTATATCTGCATTCAAATCACTCATGTGCACATGTATGTTCCAACACCCAAACCCGTTACAGAGAGACTACCTAGACCCTAAACCCTAAAGCCGCAGGCATACTACAAGCAGACAGTGAACAGCCAGGCACACACCGCGGGGTCTTTGATCCTCGAGATCTCCCAGTAGGCCCCGTTTTGTTCCCTTGTTGGAGGTCTTAGGTTCCTTATAAACTACGGTTTAGGGGTTCAGGGTTTAG